CACCGGATCGGAAACGCGACCCACTGAGAAGATCCGGCGAGAAACTCAGTGGGCTGTGTTTGAGAGTTAATTTACTCGTCGAGNGTGAGCTCACGGGGCTCAAACCTGATGACGTTGCTAACACGAACCCTAGCAAGAGCCGTGCTTCGCAGAATCTACCACCGGATCGGAAACGCGACCCACTGAGAAGATCCGGCGAGAAACTCAGTGGGCTGTGTTTGAGAGTTAATTTACTCGTCGAGCCCTTCGTCGCAAGCGACGGGTTCGACGAGAACGGTGACCGGGGTAATTGCAGCAAGAATATTATATTTCACACCTAATTCCTTTATCAATATTTGTAATGAAAACAGAATAATTCAAGTATAAGAATAATTAATGAATTTAATTTTCTTCATAAGGCACAAACACGTGAAATTATATTTCAATGTAAAGAATATTAGATTATTATATTAATAAGAACATACCTACATGATAAAATTCCGAGGCACAAAATTAATAGTCAACGAATAAACAATTACTCGTTGCTAAGGACAGACGATAGGTTATCAATGTATGAAGTACCTGTGTCAAAATACTTGATATTAGTCGAGGTTCTGATATACAAACTATCTAATTTTTTTCATTCTTTTCGTTCAATGTTCCTGTTTTGTGTCGGGCTCTTATGATATTTATTAAATAACTAGCTGACCCGGCAGACTTCGTAGTGCCTCAATCGATCAATAAAATACCTAAACTTTTGTATAAAATAAACTTAAAACAAACAAAAAGAATCCGTCCGACGGGGGACACATCATAGGAAAAACAAAATTGTTATTTTTATTTAATTCCGAGAATTTTCATATTTATCGACCTTTTAAACCCTCTCTGGACTTCCACGAATAATTCAAGACCAAAATAAGCCAAATCGGTCCAGCCGTTCTCGAGTTTTAGCGAGACTAACGAACAGCAATTAATTTTTATACATAGAGATATAGATGAGTCTTGATCATTGAAGTTTTTTTCTTCCTCCGTGTCAAATATTTTTGTAGTCGACCCTTCTAGTCCTAATAAGCTACGTTGTGTATATTTCGGGATGCAGCACCATTCTTTTCATGAACGTTTTTGGTTTGCCGTTTGGTTATCTCGGTTATCAAATATCCAATCAAAAATACCAAGCCTGAACATACTTTGCTGTAACTAAGCACGAGATTTATACAACAGATGAAACACCAGTTATTTATAGTTTTCAGACCAAATGATTCGCCTGTTTGAAATTGTTTATAAAACAACAACGCGAGCGAACATTTGCCCTTTTCATTCTCGTCGAAACAAACTTTTTATGGTCAGGATCCGTTAAATAAATAATCCTTATTATCCTGTGTTCCTTACCGAAAATCGTACAGTTGTTTAATCAAAGTCATTACCAAGATAAACAATTTCACTACATTCGTATTAAAAGCTGAACATGCATAATGCGTGTACTAAAGTTTCTTCAAGACAAACATGTGGGCAGCGAGACCATTCAAGTCGTATTTTATTAGAGGTTTTTCATGGCAAAGGAAACGACATTATCGCTTTATTTGTGAACGCTGTACTGTGGTATTTGAGTGGGAAATTGCACTGATATTTTTTTAACTGAAATACTTAAATTTATATATTTATTCTATCGCTGAACAGATTCTAAACAAAACACTCCTCTTTGAGTAGTAAATCTAAGGTTTACTTTGTTTTGATTATACAGACATTCAAAATTACAACATAATTTATTACGAACTTTGGGCACAGCATGAGTTTCGGCGCGAACTGGGCGAACATTATCCGCCATTTTGAAAGTTATCGAAGGAGATTCGCGTAGGTGTGATCTTTAAAAATTGTTTACTCGACTATGATGTTTACTGAATCTATCTTATACGTTAACATGCATGCGGAAAACCTTGAAGAAATTAAATTAGCGAAATTTTATTCCGGGTACGAGCTATTATTAACTGTCGAAATCTACAGAGAATATAATTATGTAATTTAACACAGATTGAGGGCGCATTTACATTACAGGAATTTTCGTAACTATAGTGTAATTATTATGTACCTTCTTGGAAATAGTAGGCCTTTAAAGCTAAAAGAATGTTTAAGGCCAGAATCACATGATCACAATGCATCTTCTGATTAATGAACAATCTATTATCATGTGATTTCAATGTAACTTATTCGAAGTCGTAAAACGCGATACTTCAACGATTATTTATCACAGAGCAGTTCGATAGTTCACTTGCGGTAGCTGTAAGCAAAAAACTCGTATGCACAAGACGTAATTGGCTCGAAGGACGCATGCCTGCGTATACGCATCTCTTTCTAATCGTTTGTATAGTTGTCTCATTCTAATATTTTTTTAAATCAGACAAGAGTGACAAGACCAGTCAACAAACAGACGAAGGGCCTTTTGTCTGTGTGTAACCACTATTTATGTGTAATAGCAAATACAATTAATTATAGATTTACACTCGAGCAGACAGCGAGCATGCAAAACAATTTAATTTTTTTGTTATTTTAAGATCTAGTAGGAAACTTATGTAAAATTGAACAATATGGGCCACAAGTATTAATAAAAGACTTGACAATTTTATGGCAGCGTTTTTCAGTACAATTGCGTTTTTTTAACCTATCCCTTTATATCCCCTATCAGTCAATCCTCCACTTCCTTCTCTTATCATACCACTACTACTGCTGCACTGGCGCTATGACTCTGAAGTGGGTCTTGGCCTCCGACAATAAACTTTATCATAACTTGATCTATCTTTCTTATAGCAGTAGACTCCCTCGACATAAATTATTACTTCTCCTACTTCACAAGTACAAGGCTATTCAACTAAAAGCTTGATAATGGCATGCAAATAATTTTGACAGCTAGACTATTCTTAAAGGCCTCAACATGGTCAGATCTTTAAATTGTGGAATACCGAATTTATTTGTTTGATTGTCATACCGTTATCCGTGGTTAGAATGAAACATAGATCTGCACCATGATTAACACTGCATATTAAAGTTCCTATGATTCGCAGAGACAATGCCTAAAATTTAACAGACAAGTATATAGCCGAAAATTGGCATAGCGTAAACGAGGTAGCTTGCAAAAGTGACGTATGAACAACTGGGAGCAATCAAGCGAGCGCTAGTCTTGTTTTTTATCAGCAAAGTGAATGGTAAATGTTTCATTGATTTGTTAAATTTGGTTGCACGATCACAACACCATCAAAAACACTTCTTATGTCCTTATATCCAGCTGAATGTGGATTCTGGAAAGATATTCCTTTCCTCTCAAATAGAGATATTATAAGCCCTCCCATATCTCCTACCAAAGATGTTGACTTTAAATTCTAGACAAGCATTTCTTCTACTTCCCGTGTCACTTTGTTTGCACTCTTCATTCAATACCCCCAGATACTGGTTTTTACTTTAATAATGTCTTTAAAAGGTGTTGAAATTTTACTTATAGCAATCATATGATTATGCTTCCTCAGTGTTTTCCCCATTTCTAGCCTCTCATTTACTTCTAGCAATCTTTGTGATTTGGGAAACAAGGCTTTGTTGTAGCAAGCCCAAAATGTTCCAATCCTTCTTTGCCTTCTTAGTTCTGGCCATAATTCTGTTTCCCGCTAAGTTCTTGAGTTCAGTTTAATTCTATAATTCATGCAGCCCTTTCCAATTCAGTTTTCAAAAAGCCATAAATTGACCACATAACTACTACTACAAAGTTACTGATAACAGTCATTGTGCCTTTCAAAACAAACAACTCAGTTTGTCACTGTTGTCAGATTTAAGCAGAGCTTTTAGATATTTAGCGTAGAATAAGCAATTCTTATCATCTATTGTTATCTTTTTCTGTCTACATAAATAAATACATTTATTTTTATTATACATTGTAGATGTCTATTGAAAACAACTTATTTATCATATTGCTCAAGGATCTCAAACTATTGTAGNTGCCTTTCAAAACAAACAACTCAGTTTGTCACTGTTGTCAGATTTAAGCAGAGCTTTTAGATATTTAGCGTAGAATAAGCAATTCTTATCATCTATTGTTATCTTTTTCTGTCTACATAAATAAATACATTTATTTTTATTATACATTGTAGATGTCTATTGAAAACAACTTATTTATCATATTGCTCAAGGATCTCAAACTATTGTAGTCAAATTACCTATAAGAACATAAGAGTCGTCTATTATCAAAGGTGGCAATCTGTACATTTGGACAAAAATTTTTTATTGATATGTCAATACAGATTTATTTGAATATAATCGTCTCCTTTAAAGAATACGGTTCAAAACCTGCATTAAATAAAGATTAATAGTTAACCTGTTATTTATCTAAGATGTCGTTCCGAAGAGTTTTGTGACTGCCAATGGAATACAAAGTCAATAATTCGTTTTTCTGATTTACCAATCATTGTCCAAAAGTCAGATTGCCGCCTTTGATAATAGTCGACTCATAACAAGTACTATACAGTTAAATTTAGCTCAATCAGGAATTTATTAGTAGTAGTAAAACACTTTTTTTAAAAGCAGTGGTATATACACTTTTGGCGATGATCTCATAACTAAGGAAAAAACAAGTATTTCTGAAAATTAATAATCATGGTAATTTATTCTAACGAAATAGTTAAAAAGTTTTCTTTAACATCTGTACCTAATTGACTATTATAAAAGACAAAAATAAAATTGTAATTGGAATAGTGCTCAACAGTCAAAACGTCAAAAAAGAGCAGATTGATCATGTCAGCGACTCATGCATAACAAAGAAAATAACATTAACCAGTTAAATTATAGTAATCTAGTAAACTATTTGAAATGCACGCTTAATATGCATGATTACATAAAAGTAATCAAAGTCACTCATTGATAAACATAGCATATAACAGATAAGGAGTGTAGTGTAAAACATTGTGTATTGTGAATTATGCAAAAATCAATGAAATCTTGTCGTTTGGTAGTTAACTGGTATTTAACAACAAAATAGCGCTCACCAAAGCTCTCAGTCAGTTTTAGCATAACGCCGCCGATGTGCATGTCACCTTTGACGACCATCGTCCGTTTTTCGTTCAGATCCGTCACATAAATCGTGAGGTTCCACGACCCATCACCAACTATTTCACCGTCCGCCAACATTTTCACTAGTTCGTTTAATTAAACTTATTAACTACAAGTGTCACTACCGAGCGCGCATTGCGAGTCTAAACTTTTTTGAAATCACGTCTGCCACTGACACGATTGAAATGTCAACTGAAAACTGACAACAGAAATTAGAAAGAGACAACTATGAATCTTGAATGATTTTTTTAATGGATTTTATGACCTGGCAGCTAAGACTTTTAAGTCATGTCCTATTTTAATTTATATTATTATTTTTATGAAAAATTATGAAATGAAATGAAGATTACTAATTTGAGACATCAATCAACTGGATTGAAAACAAATGAAATGAGATGGGATGATATGGGATGAAATATAATCTCAGTAAAATGGTGGTCATTTACTGAGACTTTTTCATTGGACTTTTTGGAGGATCTCGAGAAGTGACGCCCAGCGGCTTTGTTTCATTTTCCCACATTTGTACATTTTCACAGATATTAAACAGTTATTAAACCACCGCTATTACACATTTAAACCTGAAGAAACACTAAATAGACAAAATAAAACAAATCGCACAACTTCCCTCCTCGCGTTCCCACCAAAAATACCTATTTGATGTAGCCATATCGAAACCAAATTTTTTTCGATTCTACCAATTTTTTTTCTTTGGAAAACTAAATGCATAGTTTTCCATAAGGATTGTAAAAAACGGTGCATAAAATAAGTAAAATAATGCAAATAAATCAAAATTAGGTTTAGTTTAATATCTGTGACAAAACTAAGCTGAATTCGGACTTGTTTGTGGAATCTGACAAATGGAAGACTTCTTCCGTCGAGCCAATGTTTTTCTTTGGTGGACCAATAATGAATCCGAATAATGTTTGGAACTTGTAAATACTGGCTACTACCACATATTTTATGTCAACATTTTTTGAATTTTTTATTGAAATGAAGTCTCTCAATTCTTAAGAAAGATTAATGCAGTTTTAAACTTACAACTTCTTGCGTTACTTTTCATTCCTATATTTTCAATTCAAAACTGTGATCTATCTATAGAGGCATATAGCAATGGCCCACTGAATTTAGCCTCTCCTTTTTTGTTTTTATTTTTAATTATTTGTTCGTTGTTTGTTCATTAATGTTCGAATGTTAAAATTGTATTTATTTAAAAAAATATTTATTTATAATTAATTAAACAAATGGTCACCCTTAAGTTGGCCCCTCTTACTAGATATCTTTATTTTTATTGCTCAGATTAATTAATTTTGATCAATTATCGTTTGTTCGATGCCTATTGGTGATTGTTCAATCATAAAAACAATTAAATTCTCAATTATCCGAAATCCGAAAATCAAAACCGGCGCATGCACAATGTAGGCGTGAGGTGATGGTTTGCTATTAGATATAAATAATTATTAGTTTGAAATTTAATTGTTTTTATGATCGAAAATAAAAAAGGAGGCCAAATTCAGTAAGCCTTTAATGCCGGCCACTCACATGCGGGCAAATATTCGTACATTGTACGAATGCTTGCGCGCATGTGAAGGGCCGTCAAACATTCATTCGCAAACTTAGCAGCTGTGCAAATGGGTTCGCATACTCAATTTGCGAACCCGTTTGCGCTTCCTACACTTGTTTACGAATGTCTCACGAATTTCTCCTCCTTTTTAATTCGTCAATAGAACATTGAAGAGAAAAAGAGTTTTGAATTCTTTCCCAGACGTCATTAACAGCCATGCTGTTTTTATGGGATTTCTTTTGATGAAGATACGCTACACAGTAGACGTCACGAACTATGAAAATGGCGACACGTCCGTTACCTTCGCAATCGTCGGCGCAACTGGGCAAACGAATGTGTGGGAGACTACGCGAAGGTTCGCGGTTCGCGCGCTTTGATGTCTGTTAAAAAGCCGACTCAGCTTGGAAAACCACGAATGCAGCGAAAACTTTGCATAGTCATTTGCAAATGTCGTCCTACACTTGCGGGTTTGCGTATTCGTGCGCATGTGAGTGACTGGGGTAACAATCGTTTTAAAAAAATCATCGACGCTGTATGCTTAATGTCCAGTAATATGAACATTTCAATAATTTTTAATAGATATTGACGCGTTCCTAAGCTAATTCTTGCAAAAATTTGGTTGTCCGTTAGATAATGAACATGGTTATTTATAAAATGAAATTCTAGTGTAATGCCGAATATTACGACAAAACATTACTTTTTCAATCAAGTATGAGATTACAGTCTGCTGCACAGATCATAAAAGTGAGGTTTATTGTATTTTTTTTATTATATACTGATTTACGATACTAGATTTAGTTTATTTTTATGGGATTAAAATAGCATTACTTTATTAAACTAAATACGTCTACGAATTTTGGGAATGGAACATCATGATAAAGTTTAAATGTGGATATTTTTTTAAGGCACTTTCGAGGTCAAAACCGTTTTTGATGAATTTCTTGAACTACAGTATAAAAATTTGCTCTCATATACATCCATGCTATGAAACCTGTGATGTTATTTATGATGCTACTATAGATAATAAACCTCATAGATGCTGACGTTCTGTATTATCTATATAGACGTCCTTTAGTAGCCTGTGATTAATAAGGATGAATTAATAGACGTTGGCTCAAAGAAGGTTGTTTCCAAGCCAGTAATTTATTAAAAAAAAAATAGACGTTGACAATTTAGTCTACGAAAACTAACATAGATTATCACAAAACTACTGACAAGATCTTTACATTTACCAATTTTGTGATTTACCAATTATAATTTATTTCTACAAAGCATCTCTGTTATAAAAAAGGAAACAAATGAAATAAACATTAAGCGACTGATCGTCTCAATCTGAAAAAAAATCTTAATTGTATCAAGCTCTACTAAACTACTCATGAGCAATGTAAATAATATTTCCAAGATGGGAGTAAAAGATAAAAACCTAAGATGTAAGTATAATTGATCGTGTTCTTTAATGACTAATTATATAAAGAGCCCCAGCCCACTTTAGAGGCCAGATACCAAAATGTGACCGTCAGTGCCCGGCTTGAAATATTTTTTAAACATTCTGCAGTAATTGAAACTGGTACAACAGCTGTTATACCCTTCAAACGGGAACACATGAATTCGCGGCAGAAATTGACCAGGACGTGATGCCATATCCCAAATTATACAAAACTAGCGACACGCCCTCGCTTCGCTTCGGAAACATTAAAACACACATGAAACCAAAAAAATAAAATAATAAAAAATTTAAAAAAAGTAGCCTATGTTCATCAGGGACAATGTCGGCTTCTAATGGAAAAAGAATTTTTCAAATCGGTCCAGTAGTTTCGGAGCCTATTCGAAACAAACAAACAAACAAATCTTTCCTCTTTATAATATTAGTATAGATATCTAAATTCGACAATTATCTATTAATTGAGACCCCAATTATTAAATTAAATGTTTATAAACATTTTCACTATTTTATTATTGACATTTCAAAGATAAAAAATATTAGATCTGATTTTTCATTAATTAACCAACCGAGAAGAAATGTTACATGGCTATTTTATCTTTGCTTAACTAAACATTGATATTAAAAGTTTCTGAAGGATAAATAATCAACCTTTAATAAACAGAAATTTTACTCGAGGACAGTCCCTCAGAACAGCTACAAAATACAGATGATTGTACCACTTACACTGGTAAAAAAACTTATTATGTCTTAAAAAAATCTATGCAAATCTTATTTTCAGTGATATGTTCAACTCCAGAACAAAATAACAATTCTCCTTCAAGAGACAGTGATTCACTGTATGATTCAGATGCTACTAGTCCTGTTCCCTTTTTATGCACACAAGATGGAGCTGACGGAGAAACTGATGTTGTGTGGAATTTTTACACTCCGAAAGCTGATCGCAACAAAATTCATGATAAAAATGCAACACCCATTGGTAGGAAACCTAAAAGAATTCAACGTCCAAAACTTATTGATAAACATATTTCAAAACGCAGAGCACTCCGTTCAACGCAGAAAAGAACAGAATTATTTAATGATCTTATTGAATTAAATGAAAACTTGTCTGAATTAATTAAAAAAAACCCTAAAGAGTCTGGTGTCAAAACCCATTCAGGTAGTGAAGAGGATTTATTTAGTGATTCATCTGATTATTCACCAAAAAGTGGACGAAAAACAAAACACAACTGTTTACGGAAAAATGTGTTAAGTTCAAAGTTTACTAAACCAGAGAATGAAAATGTGATAGAATCTGACGATTCAATGAATGAATGTTTGATCAAAGCCAGTCAAATTGTTGAAGACATTGCGTTTGATGATGAAGTAACCCCGCCAAAAGTAAATCCAGCAAAAAGGAAGTATGTTGATGTGAAAACTAATTATAATTCAATGGATACACTTTTAGGTAATGTAAAGCTAGGTTCACCAATAGTTAACAAAGTAAAGAAAAGTGAAATGCCATGCATTAACAATGACTCTTTTGATAATCTTGTTGAGAATTTGAATGACAGCGTATTCGAACAATTGACTCAAATGCCAGTTAAAATGGATGAAACTAACAAGACTGGTAGTAGTTGGAAAGTGAAAGAAGTTATAGTTCACAATGCAAGCCCCAAGTCATTGTCATTCATTCGACACAGCACTATGCCGGAATCACCATCACTGAATGTAAATAAACCTTCTACAAGTGGCATGGTCTTTGGCAGGTATAATACTATGCCAACTGAGAAGAATATCAGCAGTGGTGGTAAGTTTTCTTAAAACAAACATATAAATAATAACTAAAGGAATCATTTCTGTAAACAAACTAGTACAGATCCTACAAGTATGACAATATGATGCAACAAATAAAAATAATTTAACTTTAGGTTGCAGGCAAATAAAATATAATATCAATTTGAGGTATGCGCTAAGTACACTTTTTCCTTTATAATTAGCTCCATGTCAATACACAATCATTTGTATGTATTTTCTTCACCTTTTGCAAGTCACACAAAATGAAGACACACTTTTTCTACATTTCAGGCTCATGTTTTTCATTGTCTCTATCTTATTTCTAATATTTCCAATGCTTTATAGCATTCGTTGCTATGGACATCTATCAGTAAATAAAAAATGTAATATGTGTTACAGAATCTGATTGTTCACCAATAAAATGTACCCAAGAAGAAATAGAACGGAAACATCGGTTAGCCAGAGAAAAATTACTTGCCAAAAGGTTACTGCCCTTCACGTCTATGCAGACAAAACAGCAAAGTCAATCACAGAAGAATCTAAAAATAAATTCAAACAGTGAACCAAATTTCATTTATCAATCTGCCAAACTGTTGCCTAATACTAAGAATAATGTATGCCGAAGTCTGGAAACAAAACCAATAAAATCACAAGATGTAAATAACTTACCCACAGAAAAACTTAATGAAAATGTTTTATTAAAACAAAATATTACAAAGTTTCAACCAAAGTTTCCTAGTAATAATGCAAATAAAGTTGATACTGTAACAAACAAATCCAATGATTTGAAAGAATTATTGGAAAGAAAAAGGCTGGAGGCATTAATGAAATTAAGAAAACGACAACAGCAAAATAAGTAGATAATTGTAGAGAAAATCTTTATTCTAAATTATCAATGACATTTAACACAAGGATATAACTCAAATACTTTACATTTACTTACTACTCAGGTATAACTACTACTTATGTACTGTTTATTAAGTTTATAAAATTGTAGTGTGGTGTATGTGAATGATGTTATATGATTTTGTTTCTACACAGGCGAGACTACTATTTTGAAATATGCAATTTATTTATGATCATCTTTCGATGGATTGTACCTTTAATGTGACTATAAATAAGAATGTCAATTTAAGAAATAACTGAAATATTTAAGTATGCAAGTATCCGGCAAATTGTTTTATACTTTCGTAAAAAAATGTGATAACTTTATCGATATAAGTACCTATGTAATTGTTTTTTAAATAATGGATATGATTATTTATATACCTATATGAGTTTTTATTGAAGTAAATTCACGTCTCATTTAGAGGGGTTTGCGGAAAACGCGGACAAAATCATAGATTTTTTATTTTTTCTGTAAACAAAAAACGTAAATGTCATGAATATGTTTTTAAAGAGAATGAAGGCGGTAGATAGCGGAATACGGTGGTAAATTATAATCCCTACCGTGTTGACGAAACCCTCGCACTAAATGTTGGCTATAAGCCAATGTAGGTAAATTTTTACGCGGATTTTCTGGAATATTTTTATTGTAATTTTCGAAACTTAAAAAAAAAAGCGTGGATATCGTGCCTTCGATTTTTATTGTAAAGAAGGCCGAAAATTGTGAGAAACGTGTTTCGTTTGTTTCATTTAACTCAAAACCTACTACTAGTGTGTGTAGTGTATTAAGTAAGCTTGTGATAATCACAATTTATTAACTGTTTTCTCAGGTTCGTCTGAGGCTAATGTAAGCCTTAGAAATTACTTCTATTTTACTGTGCGGTTATTTCACCTTTTACAAATTTTTACTCTTGAAGTTCAGTAATAGCATATGGGCATCGTTTTCTTTTCCAGTCCTGCTAAGATAATTAAAAAACGGAAAATCTGTTTTCTAAGTATGAATTAAGTTTTTTTTTAGTTTAAAACCTGCAACCGTGTTTTTCTAATTGTTTAGTATCTGTGAAAATGAAACAAAGCTGCTGGACGTAGCTTCTCGGTTTCTTTCAAAAGTCGCTGTAAATAACCACTGTTTTACTGAAACTACATTTTAGTCGACTATTATCAAAGCCGGCAATCTGACTTTTGGACAATTATTGGTAAATCAGAAAACCGAATTATTGACTTGGTATTCCATTGGCAGTCACAAAACTCTTCGGAACGACATCTTAGATAAATAACAGGTTAACTATTAACCTTTATTTAATGCAGGTTTTGAACCGTATTCTTTGAAGGAGACGATTATATTCAAATCAATCTGTATTGACATATCAATAACATTTTTTTGTCCAAATGCACAGATTGCCACCTTTGATAATAGACGACTCATATATGAGTCGACTATTATCAAAGCCGGCAATCTGACTTTTGGACAATTATTGGTAAATCAGAAAAACGAATTATTGACTTTGTATTCCATTGGCAGTCACAAAACTCTTCGGAACGACATCTTAGATAAATAACAGGTTAACTATTAACCTTTATTTAATGCAGGTTTTGAACCGTATTCTTTGAAGGAGACGATTATATTCAAATCAATCTGTATTGACATATCAATAACATTTTTTTGTCCAAATGCACAGATTGCCACCTTTGATAATAGACGACTCATTTGATCTCATGTATGATATCTCCCTTGCTTTAATTATTAACTCAAACAATAGTTTTTTATAAAATACAATATAAAGAAAATTAAGTTGTATGGTATGATATCTTCGCCTTTCCAGGTAGAAAAATGAAATGACTATTACTAATTGACATTGATTAAAAACGATCCTGCCAATTTTGTGACAAATGTCAAAATAAAAAATAGGAACAAAGTTTTTAAAAGTATGTAAATGTAGATCAAAATTAAATTTATTAAGTGCCTATTAAACTAAAGCACTCCCCGCCAACGGGATATATATATCTCACAGAATATTTTAAAAGTAAGACAATAAAACTTTGATATTTACAATGGCGTTGAGCTCCATAGGTCGAGTAGGCCGAAGATTGTGCGTTGGAATAACTAATGTCTACAATGTAACAAGGCATATTAATACCAGTCTGCCAAAGTTACTGGGTATGATACCGATTGTAGTCGAACAAACTGGTAGAGGTGAGCGTGCATACGACATTTACTCGAGATTACTTCGCGAGAGAATCATATGTTTAATGGGGCCGATTAACGATGATATAAGTTCCTTGATCGTAGCACAATTACTATTCCTGCAGTCGGAGTCGAGTAAAAAGCCTGTCCATTTGTACATTAATTCTCCTGGTGGAGCTGTAACCGCTGGTCTCGGTATCTACGATACAATGCAGTACATCACTCCCCCAATAGCGACGTGGTGCGTCGGTCAGGCATGCAGCATGGCATCTTTGTTGCTGGCCGCTGGAGCCCCCGGAATGCGGCACGCGCTACCTAACTCTCGGATCATGATACATCAGCCATCTGGAGGAGTACGAGGTCAAGCTACTGATATACAGATACAGGCGGAAGAGATTTTAAAACTGAAAGCACAAATCAATAATTTATATGTGAGACACACAGGCTTACCGTTAGAGAAAGTGCAGTCGTCAATGGAGCGTGATTGTTTTATGTCCCCAATTGAAGCAAAGACCTTTGGTATAATAGACACTGTGTTAGAGCATCCTCCTTCACATGCTGTCGAACAGGAGTGTGCACCTAGTACTGCTACTAGTAGTAGTAATTGATGTTTGCTTGTTGTTATGAATTATTTAATTTGAATAAAATAAAACAAATTTATAAAGTTTAGTATTTATTTTGTTACATAATTGTTTCACAATTAAGTAGCATTATTTTCAACAGTAACTTTCAGTTTTTATGTTTTTATTTTCATATTTTGGTGTCTTTACTGTACGTGCAGTACAATAATTTAAAATTGCTAAAGATCCAATCATAGTAATAGCTAACATTTGTATATATTGCAATGCTTGGATATTTATTGATATTTCATGATATTATCCCTATTTGATGAGTTTTTCCATTACAATTGACCAAAGCACTCCCAGAATCACCACTGAAATTAAAGTATAATGCTTTTAGAGCCATATTTATTTTACTAAAACAATGAAATAAGGTATATTGTACGTGCTTCCGAGTATAGATGAATATAAAGTATAATCTGTTCAGATTACAGAGTTGACCAAATTTATTAAGGTCTGATCAAATATAGGTTAACAATGGACGTTGAAAATGAAAAAAGGTGGGGATCAGGAAATAGATGTGTTTAATTAAGCAGTGTGGTGACCGGTAAAATAGAGGGAAAAAGGCCTAGGGGTAGAGGTCCCAAACGATGGTCGGACCAAATAGCGGAGGAACTAGGGATACCTATCAGCGACGCACTCCACCGGGCTGCAGGGCGGGATCGATGGAGACAGTTGGTTGACGAAATCGGACGGAGTCACGATCCTCAGCAGTGAGGAACCGATCGAAGAGAGAATTAAGCAGTCCATGGTAGTATTGTCTATGGATCTTAGTCATGAATCTCAGGAGGGATGTGAATTTGTCTAGCCACACTAAGATCGTTGACCTCGATAACCTTAATACTTTTAGAACGTTGCAGAGAACTGCGCGGGAACAAAAAAGGGTATTTTGCAGTGAATTCGTAAACCGGTCCCAAATCGTTTTTCACATAAAAATTTAAAATCCGGATAAACAATCCAATATTTGTATTACTAAGCTGATTCAATGTATTCACCAGCCATAAGTCACAGGTCATTCAAACATTTCAACAGCTTCATTTCACGTAGGTACGTACATATTTAATAACCTATTATTTTTTTTTAGTTTTTCGATTTGAGACATTTCGAATGCAGTACCACTTTCCGTGACCAAGAAAACAGCAAGCTTTATTTATAAAAACAAGCTAACTGAAAATGTGTTTTGAATAGTGAAAATCATATACTAGGATGGTCGAGATGTTTTTTTGTTGAAGCTTCCCGCGCAGAACATTCCGTCGTATAATTTTCCAATCATTGAACACGCGATTTTAGGTAGTAATTTCTGTGTCCCCCACTTGAGCTGGTCCGCCAATACTTTGGTTCTTTCCTGTAAAATAATTTTTTTATGTAAAATTAATCTTTTAATGTTTAATACGAAAATTATCCGCGTAACTCAGTATCGTTTTTTAAATAGGTTTTTTTTTCTATTGTTTTCAATTTGGCGGTTAGCTTCTACTGATGCCATTGTTGCCAGGGTCGACTTTATAAAAAAAAATTGATGAAACAAAACAGAATGATCAGCGTGTACTGGAATTTCAGTGGGCATTTTGGAGAACCTGAGAAGCCATGTCTAGCGACTTTGTTTAATTTTTTACACTTTGATAGATGCTGATTAGTTAATAAGTCACTAATATTAAACCCAAAGAAATTAACAAAATAAATCAAATTCGGACAACTTCGTTCCTCGCGTTCCCGCCAAAACCCCAGGTTTATATGGAAAGATATGGAATGAATCTAAACCTTGAGATGTCACTGATTATGGTCGTTGGACGAACACTAGTACTGGGTATTATAATACTCAATCGGCATCAACTGAAGCCAAGTTCAAGGGGTTTTACTCACGTTAATAAGTCCCCAGCCGGCGATACAGGCTTCGGTTGTGAATGGAAATGTTTTTGTAATTATGACGCGTTTCACGTTATCCCCAAACAATAATCTACGATCGAGCCATAATATTGCTATGTCATTTTCTATTGTTTTTTCATTATACTTTGCATGAACTGTCATAGCCGTAACACTCCGTCGAAGAGTCATCTGGATATGAATAATAAATAATATAATGCGAAAAAGGTCGTGGTCAAAGGCCGGTCAGGCTTCACAGACTGTGGCGAAACCCGGGCTAACTCGCAACAAGGTGATGCTGTGTGTGTGGTGGGATTGGAAGGGCATTATTCATTATGAGCTGTTACCACCTGGCAGGATCATCGATTCTGAACTCTACTGCGAACAACTGATAAAATTAAAGCAAGAAGTTGAGAGAAAGCGGCCGGAATTAATCAACAGAAGGGGTGTGGTTTTTCATCATGATGACGCTAGACCTCACACATGCTTAGCCACTCAGCAAAAATTAAGAGAGCTTGACTGGGAGGTGTTAATGCATCCGCCATATAGTCCTGACCTTGCACCTTCAGATTTCCACCTGTTTCGGTCTCTTCAGAATTCTTTGGGCAGTGTCAGGTTAACATCACGAGAAGACTGCCAAACCAATTGTCGCGGTATTTTGATCAGAAGCCCCAAAATTTCTATAGCAATAGGATCGTGTCCCTACCTACAAGATGGCAAAAGTTATCGAACAAAATTGTACCTACATACTTTAGTTAATTGTAAATAAACTATATTAAAAAATGTTGTGAATTTAAAAAAATAATGCGATGGAACTTTTTCTCCAACCTATTAATTATAACCATAGCTAATTTTATGAAAATCTAGTGGTTATTGCGCGAGACGTGCAAAGATTTATGAACACATAATATATTATGTATATTTTGACTGCGCGGTGTCACTGTAGAATAGCACCACTACTGCTAATAGCTCTACAACTTTCCGTGGATGTCGTATAAGGCTAAGGGATGGACCGGAAATAGCGCAAAACATTTATAAAGACACACAGATAGAAGACAGCCGAAAAAACGATCAGAAATTGGTGTTTTGGTATTTATAACGCTTACTCCGGTTCAAATTTTCTAAGATACGATTTTGCTACAGTTTTATTAAATAGATAGATCGGGCGCCACCTACCACCTATGCGTTCATTTTACGCTAATTAAACCGATAGCTTTAGGACCGTGTACAAACTTACGCAGCTTAAGATAACTAATATCTAATTTCCGCTGAACTATGTACTATAATTCCTAATTAAATTAATATCAACACGTCATTGATAGAGCTTTGGAGAAGGTGAACCAGATTTCTAAAAAAAATCATAAACAAATGGTGTTTAGAAATTAAGAATTTTTAATAAACCGATTAAATATTTGGGTGTTTATACATTTACCTTTTTGATTAACGCATGTCCAGCTAGAGCTTCTAATCTGTTTTTTCTTAAATTACAGTTGCATACACAATGAGCCGCCGTTAGAAGAACACTTTGGCCCAAAACTGAAGAACCACACATGAAATTACCTTCACATGGAATACTTAGATAAGTTGAATGAGGAAACATTTCTATATCTGCATAATCGCCGTCAAGAATGAAAGAGTCTAGTTCAGTTTTGCAATATTTGAATAACGTCAAATGTATTGGAATTAAAACAAACAAGAAATATTCATGCATTTCGACTCGTGATTTTAGTCAGAACGTTTTCAATTATTGTTTTTATGGTCCAAGATTAGGTCGTTAAGTTGTCCCTTCTTAATTGGATCGGTAATCGCTGTGCTAGGCCATGTTTTTATAAATTTGGTTGTGCAGAAGTGATCTCGATCTACTTTAATAATGACTCTATTTGGGACATTGTATAATTAAAACCAGTCTTACGGTTTAATTTCGCCTTTATAATTGTCTATACTTCTATACTAATACTAATATACTAATACTAATAATACTAATATACTAATACTAATAATATTATAAAGAGGAAATATTTGTTTGTTTGTTTGTATTGAATAGGCTCCGAAACTACTGAACCGATTTGAAAAATTCTTTCACTGTTTGGAAGCTACGCTATCCCCGAGTGACATAAGTTATATTCTTTTTTAAAAAAAAATAGGGATCCTTACTAAAAATCCAATAATGTAACCCAAGATGTAAAAAAATTGCCTAAAATATTCTTTACATCGCATGCGCTGCGAAAACTATTGATGATAGAATAAAATAATGAAAAGAATAAAATAACTATGACTTTGTAGAACACATAAGTAGTTTTCCAATTACAGCACAAGAACGCATTATGCGGCATAATGCTCAACGTTGAATGTTCCAACTACAGCAACGCTTCGCACAATCGAGCACTCTCAAAAGTACCTACTGCTCTCGCGTGATGCGTGCAATCGATACCGACTCAGTGACAGAAAATTGACAAGTGTTTTTTCTTTAAGTTGGCATTGATCGAAATTTTGTTTATATTATCGTTAGTAATATTATTTAATGTTGAAAAAAATTGTAAGGCTCTCGTTTCGTCGTAGTTTCTTAGAAATAATCAATGTTAATTAAAAATGTGCTAACTTAGCGCACTCTGCTGATGCATTTGAAAACTAATTCACGTTCCAATTAAGTTTCAGCATAATTCGGCATTGTGCGTCACTGAGTCGCATTATGCTCTGTAATTGGAAAACTACCATTATTACTTACAAAAAGTGTCGCGACCGCACACATCTAACTATTATAGTTATGCCACAATAAGTGATTTTTTATTAAAAAATATGAAACGCTTACAGAGAAGCTCTGACTCAATAAACTCAACGGCTTTTGTTTTGATCTATGACCTTTTTACGTAAATTAGAAAAATAATAATATAAAAATAATAATAAAATAGATGAAAAAATATATCATATAAATGAAAATAAAAGTTCATAAAAATAATTATATTCAAACTATCTTTATAATTTTCTTCTTTTAGTAACCGAACGCAAATAGAAGGGTTGATGTGAGTGTATTTTAATTTTTTATTTTGAAATTTTTGTTAAGACCCGAGCGAAGCCGGAGCGGGCGGCTAGTTATTAATAATTTTGTTTCAAACGTTGCGAATATTTAACAGTTTTCGTGGTCACGGATGACTAAGGTTATTCGAATATTTATGAGGTTATTTGAATATTATAAACCGTGTGCTAACTGACTTATTTATATTCTATGTATATTTTTAGAGCTTGCTCTTCTCTATGTACCTATTTACATCATAACAATTATAACAACGTTTCAACAAATCACTAACGTATAAAACAAGTCTCGTTAATTGATCACTGACGTGATATTTACATTTAAATTATGTATTAATTTTTTATATGTAAAATAGGAATATTATCATTATATTATTGATGTTTATATCTATTCTTTTTTTCATCGGTAAGTACGGCGCGGTTAATTTCTTGCCTTTGAAGTCGCCCATTGTACAAATTTGTTTTGGTATTATATTGGCGTATGCTTAGATTACTTACGTTGATGTCACTATGACAATAAGTTTTCCTAGGGTGTACGACGGTACCATCACAATAGAATTAACGGTATAGTAACGCATTCTGAAAAGCTACGTAAAATCTTCTCATCACAAATACCACAGTGTCTCAAGAAGAAAGTCTTTGACCAGTGTGTGTTGCCAGTGATGACATATGGCACTGAGACGTGGTCGCTCACAATAGGCCTTATGAGAAGGCTGAAGGTCACCCAAAGAGCAATGGAGAGGACTATGCTCGGAGTTTCCCTGCGAGATCAAATCAGAAATGAGGAGATTCGCAGGAAAACTATGGTAACCGACATAGCCCAAAGGATTGCGACGTTGAAGTGACAGTGGGCAGGACCCATTGCTCGTAGAACGGATGGCCGTTGGAGCCAGAAAGTTCTTGAATGGCGACCGCGTACCGGAAGACGTAGCGTGGGTAGGCCTCCCACAAGATGGACCGACGATCTATCGAGGTTCGCCAGGATTCGCTGGATGCAGGCAGCGCAGGACCGGTCTTTGTGGCGAGGCTCGGGGGAGACCTATGTCCAGTAGTGGACGTCTGTGGGCTGATAAGAAGAAGAAGAACGCATTCTGGCAAAACCTACCAACATTCGCTTTTTTCCGATTCGTATTTCAATAAATTAAGGTAATTAATTCTAAACGGTTATTATGATTGTTGATGATTAAAATATAGAATTACAATTTGTAAAGTTAAAATGAATATTCAAAGTTGTAGTACTTATTTTCGTTAAAGATTCTTATTATAGGTTTATCATTTCGAGATTATCAGTCGGATATCTCTTGAGGGTTTTCCTTCAGAGCTATTTATCATGTAAATTGACAAGAGGCTTGATCTTGACGAAACTTCGTTAAATTTCGGACTGATTTCCCTTGTGCGTTTCTTTCCACAGAGTAGGTATCATGTGTTCATCTTGATAATGTTACATGTTTTTTTCATAATGTAAGATTAAGATTCTCAGACTCAGTTTTCAAAGCGGTATATGTTAAATGAAATTGTTCGATATTACACGAAATATTTTTTTTATTTTAATTAAAATGCTACAACATACTGTATATTATGTTTTTGCTCTGTAATGCACAATGCTCTGGAACTTAATTGTAAAATAGTCATATCTAAAACTGTAAATTATCAAACTTAGTCTAATATAGTCTAATAGCTAAGCGAAGGAGGGATGCTCTTATGACGAATGTGGGCTGATTCAACGTTAACGTCCTGTCACACTATGGGATATGGTACGTCGTTGTCTAAGGCGCTGAGTGATCAGGGTAGCGCATGCGTCAGAGCGGGTCGATATGTAGTGACGTCACCTGGACTCAGGCCTCAGTCAGCCGCCAGCGGCCACGACGATAACATGTGGCTGAAATGCTTGACTATAACCGTGCTTTTCGCGGCGACCGTTTCCCGAGAAGTCTTCACGAATTCCTTCCTGGTGCGGTTCAAGAGATCGGTCCGGCATGACGAGGCTACGGAGCTGGCCGCCCGCCACGGCTTCGAGAGTCTTGGACCGGTAAGTCGCGACCACGTGTACGTACGTAAACATAACCATAGACGCGGCTAGTCCGTCTTGAGATATGGCTTCGTATGAAATTTCTAATATCGGACGTGCTTCGTTTGCTTTTCGACAAATTGACGTTGAAGGTTAAGGCTGTCATTGTCAAGGGAGCGTGCGTCCGTAACAGTAATCATAGATGACAATGTGTATGGCTTCGACAAAAGCCTTACGACGTGAACGTTGATCTAAATAGACTTTAATCAAAAATTGACGGAATTACCCTTTTCGCTTGTGATTTGGTAGAGTAGAAATATTTCTGTAACGTGCCTAATGAATATTCATGGAGTTTGCTATTCGCTGGCTTATGTCTGGATAAACAATGTCATTTAAATGGCGTTATGAATGACCGTAATTGGATTCTCGTTGAGTTTTACAAAAAGTCAAATTACTTTTTTTATCTGTGTGAACGAGTTTACGGCCCACCTGGTGTTAGGTGGTTAGCGGAGCCCATTAATGTCACATGAGGTCGGAGTCTTAATTGTATTGTACAATATTTATCATATCCTGCCGCATTACTGCTTCACGGCAGAAATGCCATATCTATGTGAATTTTCTTAGCATGCAGGCGAGCATGCGGTCCAGCTGAGTGGTTACCGTCGCCCGTGGACTTCAGCAACGTCAGGGGCAGAGCCAAGCCGCGTTTGAAGAAGTGCATGTAACAGCATAGGCTTAAAAAGCGTCCTACCGTCAGTAGATTTTTTTTCTTCTTTCAGTCGGAAACTTGGTACTATTAGTGTAGTAGTACAATATATCGACAAATTCAAGTCAAAAAAGGTTGGGATGGCACTTTCGCACATGTAGCTCAGAGATGAACTTCGGAAGCACCACATGTGAAATATCCTTAGATTATATTTATATCGATTTATCAATCAAGTTTTGTTTATTGAATTTTGGGGCCCTAAGTCTTCTGAGGTCACAAAAAGTATTTCCTATTCTATTCTAAAAGACCTTAGCTTCCAAAAAATTACCTGAACTAGATATATTGCATTCTTTAATTAAGATATTTTCGGTCAGACTACAAACCTAATATAATTCGCAACTGCTCGATTTATGTTTCCTTCTCGACGTTTGATATTCTCGATTCGCCAAATAAGTAACTTAAAATAAGCTCAGCTTAATGCAACGTTTAGAAATCAAATCAAACCAAATCAAACTTTATTATCTTATCTTATACCTTTAAACGAGCAATTCTTGTATATTAATATATATATAATCTGAATCTCGGAAACGGCTCCAACGATTTTCATAAAATTTAGTACACAGGGGATTTCGGGGGCGATAAATCGATCTAGCTACGATTTATTTTCAGAAAATGTTGTTTTATTCGTGTTTTCAATAATCAACTCATCCCGACATCTATTGACGAATAATAATACTATTTTTCTTAATTGAGGGCAACTAACCGCTTTAAAGACACAACAAGATGGCGTTATCAAAAAAAAACCCATCATCTAGTTATAGCTAGAACACGGTTTACAAAGTTGTTGATAGTTATTTTATAGAACATCGTGTTTCTACCATGTCGGCGTGCGAATATTATTCAAAATTATTTACATTAAATGCAGTCAGTATTTTTTTTTTTTTAGTTAAAATATGAAACAACAAAATAAATTAATTGAATAAGAATTAGTTATTTATGTCATAAAACGAAAACAAAGAACAGAAAGAAGCGAATTTAAAATTAACATAATGATTTATCATTTAAAAAATCGTTAACTGTATAATAACATCTTAAGGTTAATAATTTTTTCAAGTTCTTTTTAAATAAAAATAATTTGTCTTTTTTATAGCATCAGGTAGCTTATTATATATTTTCGGTGCCATACACAATATACTTTTTTTGCATAAGAGTTGTCTTAGCACTGTGCAAACACAATTTATTTTGGTCGCTCCGGTTACGTTGCGAAACTTCACCTATGGTTTTAAACGAAAAGTATTTTCGAATACTTCGAAAACATACTACTCATAAACTCTCAGACACAGCCCACTGAGTTTCTCGCCGGATCTTCTCAGTAAGTCGCGTTTCCGATCCGGTGGTAGATTCTGCGAAGCACGGCTCTTGCTAGGGTTCGTGTTAGCATCGTCGTCAGGTTTAAGCCCCGTGAGCTCACCTACTAGTTACGGTTACGCTGGAATAGCCTCTCTAGGCTACCAGCTTAGGTAGGAAAAAAAAGCTACTCATAGAAGCAAAGTATGAAAGTTTATGTCAACTTGACTTGATACAAAATAACTAAACGTTAACCGTTAACCATGCGGGTGAAGTCATTTCAGAAAGCCAGTCAATAAACCTATAAAAATAATACGTACATTTGTATCAGAATAACAACCTTTTCCCCTCTGGCAGCCGTTTCCGTAGCTAAAGACGATGTAAATACGGCCTGCTATTTATTTTCACCAAAAGCGTGTAAGCTGCGAACAGTAGGAAATGAACCTTACCATCAAATCTTATTGCAGAAAATTCCATGGCAAAGATCGTCTACAAATATGTACATTTATTTATTCGTACGGTACTATTATTTTATGATTATTGTTGTAGCAGAACATTTAATTGTTATTAACAGTATGTTTTTGGTCAGTGGATATGGCCTGTCGGGTTACGGCCGCATCTTTATTCTTCTCTTCTTTATTACAGATGGTAGGACCTCTTGTGAGTCCGCGCGGGTAGATACCACCACCCTGCCTACTTCTGCCGTGAAGCAGTTATGCGTTACGGTTTGAAGGGTGGGGCAGCCGTTGTAACTATACTTGAGACCTTAGAACTTATATCTCAAGGTGGGTGGCGCATTTACGTTGTAGATGTCTATGGGCTCCAGTAACCACTTAACACCAGGTGGGCTGTGAGCTCGTCCACACAACTAAGCAATAAAAAAAAAACTAATTTTCAGTTTTCAATTTTTATTACACGATACCAAATCAAATCAAATAAAAAATTTTTATTCAACATAAATGAAAATACATACTTATTGAACTTCAAAAGAACTACCGCCAATTCACAAGAACTAGCCTCTGTCCTGAGAAGAATTGGCAAGAAACTCAGCGGGCATGTCTTTTTTTTTTTAATATTAGATTTTTTTAAAATATTCATTTTTACATGAGTATTATAACATAACAATTATTACAATATTGAAATGCCCGGAGCGAGCAACTCATTCCCACTTTGTGCAATCTTCTAGCCATACCTTCATCACTGTAGTCACACACACTGTGTCGTGAAAACACATCAAGTGCGGCTTCCTTAGAAAAATAATAATTGGCACTTGCCGGCGGGGTTTCAAATCCAGTACAGTCGCTTCACTCGATACGAGAACACCGGGCATCTCATCACAAAAAATAATTTAATCTATACATATAAATAAAATTTGTCTGTTTGTAATATTGAAATAACCGCTTTTTACTACGTGCATATGAATATATATATACGTTACATACATCAAAATAACATTTTTTACAATTTTTGTATGTCTGTCTGTTTGTTTCGGCTAATCTCTGGAACGGCTGGACCGATTTTGATGAGACTTTCACTAATAGGTAGCTGATGATATAAAGAGTAACTTAGGCTACTTTTTTTGACTAGCTTCACCCCGCGGTGTTACCCGCAGTTATTGTCGTACCGCGCGCAACATGGCGGGCTTCGCCTATCAATAATAAAATTTAATGTTTCCGAAGCGAAGCGAGGGCGGGTCGCTAAACGAAAATAACATTAGAAGTGATAAGCTACAAATCCGAGGAAGCTGAGATTATTAAATTGTATCTTGTTCTTCCTACAGGGCGGATGATGTTCGCGGATTAAATTTCTCCAATTCGGTTTTTAGGTCAAAGTCGCCCGGGGCCGCCGCCGTGGTCGCGATATCTTTGCCATTCGATTAGTGTTACCATTATGCTTCGAATTGAGGCGTTATTGAAAACGACTTCCTTTATTATCCGTTAGATATTTCATTTGCAGGCTGTATTTTTGTTTTACAGGATAATAACTGTCGTTTTTTTATATTGATTCAAACTTTGGGTTATATTGTTACGTGCTCTGCGGTTGTCTTCAGCCTGGAATAGCATGGTTCTGAGGAATAGTTCGAGGTAATCCTTTCATCTCCTCTTTATGATCTAAGCTCAGTTCTGATACTGAACAGTAATGACTACGATCATCACAATGCGTTTCTAGAGATATCTTTTTGTCCATATCATAAGGGCTTGGAATGGACGGAGTTCCACGAGCGCTATGGCATGTCCTTCGTCACAGAAAATTTGCTGCCTACTGCTATGATTGAAACCATTTAACATCAGGTGGACCGTATACGTACCTATGTTTTTTTTTATTTTTTTTTATTGCTTATATGTGTGGACGAGCTCACAGCCCACCTGGTTTTAAGTAGTTCCTGGAGCCCATAGACGTCTACAGCGTAAATGCGTCACCCACCTTGAGATGTAAGTTCTAAGGTCTCAGTATAGTTACAACAGTTGCCCCACCCTTTAAACCGAAACGCATTATTTCTTCACGGCAGAAATAGGCAGGGCGGTGGTACATTGGCAGCAAACAAAAAAAATACGTGTGGCACTCGGAGACTGCCGCGGTAAAACTATTGCATAGCATTTTTTATCAACTTATGCAATTATAAATCGACAAAAATAATTTAATATTAAAACAACAATAAAATAAGACCACGCTATATTTATAAACATTTACAAAAGCAAAACATTAACTGTCCCCTTCACACTCATAACCTAGACCGCGCGAGGGAGAGATGGGCAGACTTTTCATGATGTGTATGCGGCAGTGCGACGTCACGCCGCGCGCTTATTCACAAACACTACACAAGGGCAACGTGTGAATGTGTTGAACGCGAGCTACATAGTAGGCGCAGTGGGGATGTCAGGTTATTTTCGTTACGGAATTTCTTGATTCAGTCGCCGCGCTCAAGGCCCGCGATAGAAGCTATGCAATAGCTTAAAAACCACCGCTC